CTTTCATCTTACTACACGACTCTTCAACAGTCCGCACCAATGATCCAGCACCCCCAAGGATACAACCCACGACCTTCAGGTTTCGTGGCCACCACGTTGATGATGATGATGAATACCGACTTGAAAAATCACTAAATCCCCACAAAACCACCAAATCAAATTCATCTAGTGTTCACTGGTGACTAGCTTCGAGAGGTGATTCCGCAAGCCCCAATGAGAAATCGTAACCGGTGAGGTACACCTGGTGGCTATGAAGACAAATACTCAATACTCGCACTATGTCGAGAAGTGACAGAAGTTGAAGATATGGACCATTGGATTCCCACCCACTGGCTCAGTGGTAACGTTCTGGCTACGGAAGCTGAAGGTCGTGGGTTCGATCACTGGTGGGTCGGGGTCATGGGTGCGCACTACTGAAGAGCCCCATACTTGGACGAAACAGCTGTCCAGGGTGCTCCCAGGATTCAAATGTTCCTCCAGCTGATGTCAGTTCATGATGAATACCAACAGGAAAAAACTAGTAAATCCCCCCCCCCTCCCCAAGCTAAAAATCTGTAGTACAAGTATGAAGATACAAAAATTTTCTTACTCGGTTACAATCCTTGTTCAGACACGGTGTTCGCTTGAAATTATGATAATCACTACTCTCTCTCTCTCTCTCTCTTTTGTCTATTATATTTTCCAAAAGTTAAAACATAAGAAAACGTTATATGAAATACTTCTGTACTTCATCCAGGAAACAGGTTACTCGATGATGAGTGTGTCTAAAGTGTGGACAGACAGACAGACAGACAGACAGACGCATGCGCTTACGCACGTACATAAATGAACACAATCTGAAGATAGACATACACGCTCAGATATCCACATAGTTGGTGCAAAGCAGATAATTCATATTTATCACTATCTTTTAAGTTGATTCTTTCAAGAAACATTTTTCCTTCCAAAATTATTGATTTTAGCAGACTATGGATATATAAACACGTGTGCATGCGGTTTGTATACGTAGTTGGCTGTGAAAGAAAATATTCACATTTTCTATTTTGGTTTTCACTAATACACAAGTTATATCTTGGAATTTGAACGCAGTAACAGTCCTTTTATAATCATAATAATTATTATTATTATCATTAATATTATTGATTTTGAGGTAGTTTTCATTAGAGACTGACATTAGTTGGAGAACTATTGGAAACCTGGGAGCACTGGGTAGGTGTTTCGTCCTAGTATGGGACTCCTCAGCAGTAGACACACATGACCCCGCCACAGATTGAACTCAGTACCTTCCGGTTTCATACCGAACACCTTAACCATTCACCCATTAAGTCGGAGTGGAGTTTAACGGTTCACAGCTTCCTATTTCTGTCAATTCATGATATAGTGCGATTGTCATCTAAGGTCTTCAGTTGGCATCCATTTCTGTTCCAACTGGTTGACCATACAGGTCACGGCTTCTCATTACAACTTCAACGGATGTCAGTCCCTGATGAAAAATATTTATTTGATAATGAGAAATAATCACAGTTATAAACCGATGAATAAATACTTTCCTAGAACGAACACACGGCTACACAACCAGTATAAACACTACTACCATCAGCATCACTGCTAATAGTACTACTAACTTCAAAGAAGTAATACACACTATAATCCTGTTTTGTATTTCTGTGTATCTGTGTCATTTTTACGCCAGTCAGTGTGTGTGCATGAGTGGTGCACTACTCAAGCTTTGCTTTGTTTCTTTTCATTCCAAAAGTTTTTACTGTACTTTCCTCTCGACAATAAAGAATCTCAAGTTGTTATTCATCGTAGACTGACATCAGTTGGAGGAACAAAGGAAACCTGGGAGCACTGGACAGCTGCACTGCTGAGGAGTCTCATACTAGGACGAAACAGCTGTCTAGTGCTCCCAGGTTTCCTTTGTTCCTCCAACTGATGTCAGTCTACGATGAATAACAACTTGAAATAATTCCAAATCTCCACAACTCCCTCAAAATTTAATAAAGAATCTGTTGAAATCTATTTGAATATAGACGGATTATTTAAGAAAATAAAGAAATAATTATAATCTTGAAGTAGTATTCATCTTGGACTGATATCAATTGGGGGACCATTGAAAACCCAAGAGAACTGCAGAGCTGATTCGTCCTAATAGGGACTCCTCGGGAGTACGCACCAATGACCCGCATAGAATCAAAACAAACTATAGTTAAATTTTAATTCGCTTATACACTTTTAACATTAGTTGGTTCACTTAAAGCCACTTATAGGTACAGTAAGTCATCGGTTAAAGTATTCAACTCCAAGACAGATTAGACAGATAGATAGATTTATAGATAGACAAATCAACGTAGAAATTCACAAAAAAGTCCACTGTGGTTCAAATTGCCATACTTCACATAATATTATGCAAATAACAAGTGAATAGAAAAGAGATGACAACAGAGAATGAATATACTAAGGTAAATGAAGCTAATCAAAACACTGAGCTATTGAGATCAATTTTCAGCTATATCACAAAGCGTCTCTAACCATTAATTCTTATCGTCCTGAGGACTCTAAATCAAACAGTTAACGCTGTTATCTTTGTTTAGTCATCCTTAGACTTTTTCCAACCCAATCCTTTCCATTAGATAACATCACATGAGCAAAAGTATATCCATATCATTTTAGTCTTTGAATATTTACAAGCTTATCGACTGACCTGTCTTATTTACCAAATCACTTTACATCTAAGTTCGCCATTACTTACACGGTAATTTCATCACACGCTAACAATACTATAAAGACACCTGTGGTTAAAAAGCTTATTATCTTTTCATATTTTCTACTCTCAAAATACACGTCTGATAGTCGTCATATAATACGACTGAGTGGACGGACGGTAGTGCAATATACTCCGCATTTAATAGGTAACTGAATACCCGCGAACATTAGAGACTACTATTGAACTCTTAAAAAGATTATGGTTTAGACTCAAGTATCGATCAAAAATAAAAATTCACTCAACAGCCTTGTGTACATTGGTGCAGTAGGCAATGAGCTACATGTTTTGTGGAAGGTCTAGTGATGCTACCTGATTGCCTAAACCCCCGGTAGGTGGAGCAGGGGCCAAACCCAAAGAAAACAATAAGAAAACACGTGAAACTAATTTCTCCCTCTACTCCATTTACAAACCGCAGACTACTAAAAAGTTTGATAACTCAATGTACAATAAGTACTACAGACAAACAATAGTGTAAGTTGACAAAAGTCACAAAACACTTCAGAGATGATACTTTTTCAGTAATCTATGAAGTCTGAAAGTCATAAATTAACAGGTTCATTTAATTTTCTTTCCTGTTGTCAACTGTTTTTAAGCATAAATACAGATCAACATCGAAAGCCTTCCGACTCTTTTGAGAAAACCCTACACGTTTCAGTTATCACACTAGACTGTATCTTTTCCATGTCCGATGTTCAATAGGACATTTTCGTTAAGTGGATGCATGGAAGATTGATCCTAGAAATCTCAGACTTAAGAAGTGTAACCTTTAAAAATATGTTTGTAAGAACGTAGAACAGTAAAACCAAGTTAACATTCCTGATAGGTGAAAAGCAATGAAGACACCTCAGAATGAATTTAGCTCATTGTGACAGATAAAAAACAATGTAGAACCTCGCACATAAATGTATCGGTTAATGAGAGAGGAAACTTAAAAACTGAGGTTAGTCAAAACATTCAAGCTTTAGAAGACGTCATAGAGCGAATACATTTCCATAACTGTGATCGATTTTCAGCTATTTTACCAAGGGTCCCCAATCATGGATTCTTATCGTCTAGACAACTTCAACCAGGCACAGTCTACACCTCCTTACACAGCTTAGACTAACAGAGAGAGACTTCATAGAGTGGTACCTATTCCAACCTAGCCTAACGTTTACTGACATTACATTTCGAAATAGGCGAGCGTTCAGCACGCGCAACACATGTACAAGCCACCTCATTAGCTCACTGTAAGTTCAGATAAAACTCCATGCATTCTAATTAAAAGAGCTTTAACTACAGGGGGTTTACTGACCAAATACTCCTTTCTCTTAGCTAGATTGGATGTCATCAAACCTGTTGGTAAACGAAGTTGAATATAACATTTATGTCAGATGGTAATTTGTTTATAACCGTCTGACTAAGAAACTTATCAAGGAGAGTTTCAAAAAAACAGAAGTTTTCGTGCAACTCTCTTATGCATCAAGTTACTTACATCATCACTCAATAACAAAGACCAGAAAACATGAAACCTACTAATAAACAAAATGCATAGTTTCTATTAGGATATACGACTATTTCCCAAAGATTTGATTAAAAGACTTAATACTTTAAATCTCGCCATTAAAAAAATATTCAAAAGTTTTCAGAATTCTAAGTCTGGTAACAGAAGTTGGAAATATGGACCATTGGATTCCCATCCACTGGCTCAATGGTAACGTGCTGGTCAAGGAACCTGAAGGTAGCGGGTTCGATCCCTGGCGGGGTCGTGGATGCGCACTGTTAAGAAGCCCCGTACTAGGACGAAACAGCCGTCCAGCGCTCCAAGGTCTCCTTTGTTCCTCCAACTGATGTCAGTCTACGATGAATAACAACTTGAAGTTTGGTAAAGTCAAACGTTTTCAGCCCTGCCTTACCTTATCTTTCCTTCCCACTTATTAGTGGTTGGATTAAGATTCACTGTTGTCTAGGCGTAGCGCGTATTGCTAGGTATCGAATGTCCAACCTTGAATCATTTTAATTTCATGAATCCTGTGTGATAATCCACTCAAGTAACCTTGTGCATATTTGTTCATAAGTCAATAAGCTGTACCTATTGTATAAAGGCTAATGATACTATCACCCAGTTATCAGTAGGTGGAGTTGGGTTCGAACTCATACACCTATTGGTTGGAAACTAAATTATTAAACGAATGGCCCATAGCTCCACAATATGTATGTTCTGTAAACATAATTTTTTTTAAAAAAAACTTACATGGGATTCACAATCTCGAACAATAAATTCACCAGGTAATGAATATTTTCTAAGCATTTCTTCGCATTCAGCACGTGAAATAACACCCCAACACCATGGTCTATTCAAATGCAATCGACCTGTACTCGATTGTGTAGCATAACTTAACCTTAATGATTCACCATCTGTACATTGTGATCTATGTGTTAGTGCATAATTTGAATTCGTTACAGATAACATTTGATCACAACGTAGGGAATGATCGAAATTCGCCGATTGACAGGATAATGATGATGATGATGGTGGTTTATGATCTGAATTGAATACTTTCCTTAATCCTGTAGTTGTAGTTGTCACTGAAGGACTAGTTAGTACACGTACATAATTCTGTGGAACTAATCCAATTTCACCACGATTATTACGACAACGCCACCAGTCTGGATCATCAGGTGGTTTATCAATTACTTCTAGGATTTCATTCGGGTTAAATGATAATTCTTCCGCTTGATTACGGACAAATGGATAAAGGGTAATAATAGTTTCACGTTGAGGCGGCGGTGGCTGTTGTTGTTGTTGAGTTTCTTCAGTGGAATTTACACTCATGGAATGCTGTTGTGACTGTGGTTGTTGATGTTTCTGTTGTTGTTGTTGTTGTTGTTGTTGTTGTTGTTGTTGTTGTTCATAATAATGATGAGCTAAATATTCAGCTTGTAATTGAGCTTTTGTACTTGGGATGTTGATTGCAGATAAATCATTTGTATCACGACTAAGTGAACTTGTATTTAATATACTCGGTTGTGAACTACTCCCAGATCTAAAAATTTCAACATATCAAGAAATCATCTCGATGAATAATGATAAACTCATAAATTAAGTTGAACAGAATGAAGCAAACTTTGAATATCACTGACAATATATGAGCAACATCATACAAAGTAATAAGTTGACATCAGTTGCAGAAATCATTCAACAACAAAAAAAAAAACAACTTATGATTGAATATCCGTTTCGTCCTAGTACAACGTGATTCCATACTGGTGTGAACCAACGAGATTGAAAGCTAAATCGTCAGATTTCATAGAAAACATGTTAACATTTAATGACAGGCATTTTTCAACTCGTTAGACAATGGAACTATGATTCAATGCTATTGGTGAGTGTTTGACCTTACAATAAACATGAGTGACCGGCTACAAATGAAAAGCTAAATAATTCCCCCCCCCTGCACTTACTGATGTTTAGGAAAACAGGTAACATTGACTTTCGCATAATGTTTGGCGCATCACCTAATGTATGTAACTCCACATAGTTGCTGAGTGATAATTTTCTTTTTGGCAGCCAACTATACCCACTTAAAACACGTAAAAAACGCAAAACTTCATATAAAAGTGCAACGGTTAAACTCATTATCAGTAACTACTGCTAGATTATATAAAGCTTATCGAGCAAAACGGAGTTTGAACTAATAACCATCATCATCAATATCAACATAGGACCAGACATTACTGCATAACGGTCCAAGTTGCCACACTTCATATCAGTACATCAGGTAGAAAGTTAGTGAGGTGAAGGATGAAAATAAGTGAATGCAGTCAAAAGAAATACAAAGTACGAGAAGAGAGAAAGGAAGAATGAGGAAATGGTGAGATTCGGTATAGCGTCGCTAAAATGAGGATAATGTGTGTGTGTATATACATCTGTGCCACTCACATCGGTTCTCAGCCATGCCATCACCTAGAGTCTCCAACCCCTGCTTCCTCTTGTCCCACACACCCCAACCACCTAGTCTGCATCGCCCCCACACATTGGCTCAAACCAACAGTCAAACACTTCATACATTGGTGACATGTTTTAGTCTGGCCACATCAGGCCTTTTCCCAGCCTGGACTCACCTCAGCCAACATTGGGTGATAAGGCAATCGGTGACTAGGCATACATAGTACGTGTCCTAACCATCTCAGTCGATGAAGGTTCATAACCTCGTCAACTGATTTACCTCCTCTCCCTAAAACTCTACACCTGACTTCTGCATTACTCACGTGGTTCGGTGACACCACGGAATACGTCCTACACTACGAAGGTAACGGTGGTCAAACACCTGAAGCCAGCTTTCTCATATCTTCCACTTTCAATGGCCATGTTTCACAGCCATACAGTAGAACAGAGTGGACTGCTGTGCAGTACACACCACCCTTAATAGACAAACGAATATCATGGCGGCGCCATAGGTGGCGTAAATTGGCAAAAGCCAATCGAGCCTTTTGTATCTGTGCAGAAATCTCATCGGCAACTAACCCACCAGGATTGATCCTACTTCTCAGGTAAGTGAAGTGGTCGACACACTCAACCATTTCACTCTCTACTGTTAACCGCAGTGGGGCACAGTTGAAGACCAGTCCTGGAGCAACAATTTGCAGTTGGGTGGTGAAAACCGCATCCCAAACATTCTCAAATTGCCACTGAAAGTGTTCAGAAGACTCTGCATCTTGTCATCGTCTTCACCTAACAGGACTATGTCATCTGCATATTATAGGTCTAACGAAAATTCACCTGTGATTAGGTCAACCTTTGTGTAGTGAGGTGACGAGAGGGAGACCTCCATAAGAGTATCTACGATGAAATTGAATAAGAATGCAGACAGTGGGCATCCTTGACGGACACTACTCGATGAGCATAGCTCCCTGGACAACTCACCATGGGCTGTAACACGTCCACAAGTGTTCGAGTAGAGAGCCTTCAATAAGATGATGTACTTACTCGGCAAGTCGATAAGGTCAACCCTCATCGACTGAGATGAATGGAACATGTGTTATGCATGTATCTAGTCATTATCTGCTTCATTGTACAATGTTAGCTGAAGCAGTTTCAGGTTCAAAAGAGGCTGAAGAGATATATTAAAAAAAACATGGCATTAGTGCATGAAGTCCTTGACTGTTGATCTAAACCATGTAGGGGTAATGTAGAGTAGCTGCTGCTGATTCCAGTCTATATGACAACAGATATCAATAACTGAAGTCGATACAACATTGGTGCAGATGTATCCACATGTGTTTCTTTCATTTTATTCGTCTTATTGAATTTAGTACTTTCTCATTCTTGTTTTCTACTCCCTTTAAACTGATTCTTTTCTATTTCTTCATTTTCGTCTTATTACTTTAATGCTTGATGTGATGATGATATGAGGTGCGGCAAATTTTGGACTACATGAAATAATCCTTGTTCCCTATGTTGATACTAATGATGACAATACACAAACAACAACATAAATCTGAATTATATTGTACTACAAGAAAAATGGACAAAAAAAATTTAAATCCAGTAGTCTTTACAGTGTGATAAAGTAGCCTAGTCAAAGATAGGCAAACTAATAAAACTTGGAATTAGGCGAGTAGACAAAAGAGAAGAATGTACAAAACATAGAATATAATAATATGGGGACGGGGGAGTTAGACATTGTAATACTTGAAACGTTTATATGCAGACAACTAAAGTTTTTCAAGTGTCAAACACTAGCAGGTAACATCACCCTATGGCCACTCCTCATCTGATATCATCAATCATGATTATTATCATCGCTACAGTAGTGTGATGATTTATACAAGCTCGTAAAAGTACACATTGTAGAAAAGTTATTATTATTATTATTATTATTATTATTATTATTATTATTATTATTATTATTATTATTATTATTATTATTATGGAGGCGAAATTGAATGTATTTTGATCTGACCATTTCTCCAAATAATGAAGTATCGTAATTTACAACACACGTAAAACATAATTTGATCATCAGAGTATGATAGCAAAACCAGTGACAGATCAGACGCTATTGAACTCTTAGACAAATATTCAGTGATACACGTTATCTGATGACGACAAAAATTCGCATACTGCATGTTGATCATATATATACTTAGTTCCCTCTAATTTAAATTAACCCCCCTCCCAAACTCTTCAATTTGCAAGTGTTTTTTTCACTAAAACCATATTACTGGAAATCCTTTGGTATAGTAGCCAAGTCATCACGTCTATACTTTAATTAAACTCACAATAGGGAAATGAAGCCGATTGAAAATCGGTGCTTAACTTGCTACTACTAGGCAATCCAATTGAGAAATCCTTAACTTCACTTACCTACCTTTTAATGCTTACAGGTGTAGGCTTACCGTGTAAATGCAATAAGAAGGGAAGAAATCAGCGAGATGTGTTTCACTAATGATATAAAGTGACCAAAAATGGAAGTCATCATTCAAGGTCATTCGCTGTTAGAGTAGAAATATTTTCGTTTCAAATCTTGATTTATGTCCATCTAATTGATGATCTAGTGGCTTCATTTTCTGAGTAGCAGCTGCATATAAATACCATTTTTCGTCAAATTGCAATGCTACGCATCATAATGAAACAGAGCATAAAATGGCAGTCAAATCTCTACCTCAACTTCATCGACTTTGAAAAGGCCTTTAACAGCGTCAACCTCATTTAACAACTATATGAAGACGCCACATGCCAAGTAATTGACAATAGGAAGCTCAGTGATGCCTTTGAAGTGAAGACATAAGTTAAACAAGGCTATCTACTATCACCCATGATATTCTTGATTGTGGTCGACTGGATCATGCAGCAAACAGTGAGAAGCGAGAAGAGGGGATACGCTAGCTGGAAGATTTGTATTTCGCCGATGATGATGATTTATGTCTAATATCGCACAAAATCGAAGATCTACAGGCAAAATCGAACAAGTTGACAGAAGAGGTAAGGCAACGAAGACGGGACTTCAAGTGAACGTAAAGAAGATAGAGGTGATGATGATACCCAACCAACGCCACCACCACCAACAACAACAAGCTCCAATCACCATCAACAGGAGAAACTTAAAGGAAGTAGATTCTTTCACCTACCAACTAGGCAGCATCTTTTCAACTACAGGAGGCACAGACGAGGACCTCAAAGCAGCCAGGATCGGAAAAGCAAGACACGCGTTCATTAACCTGAAACCAGTGTGGAGATCTACTCCACTCTACTCAGCACAAAGCGTGAACAACATCTGGATTTTCAACACTAATCCAGCCAAGTCAGTGCTTCTACATAGTTCACAAACTTGGCGCGTCACGAAAGGCATTCCCAACAAACTGCAGATATTCATCAACAACTGCCTACGCTGGCTTGTTACTGAAGCTCAGATGGCCAGAAAGAATAAGCAACAAAAAACTCTCGATATCTGATTTTATAGTCCTGTCACCTGATTTTTCTTTGTTTGTTGATTGGTAGTAAAGTTTTCCATATCTCTGGTATGGATAGGTGTTGCGTCATTCCTATTCCACATATGTTGGGTGTGGATTCGATGAAGAAAGATTCAGTAATCAATCCCCCTCTCTCTCCACCTAGCTATATTAAGCTTAAGTACAGTGGTTTTGTCCCACCCTACTGTGTGGTTGTGTGTTAATGAATGTAATGCAATGGCCGAGTGTTTTTCTAGATTATTGATCTCATTGGGGTCTGTCGTTCTATGTTTGGCTAAATTCCTATGTTCTGCTAATCTAACTGAACCCGACCGGCTAGTTTGACCTATGTATTTGACCTCACAGTCATTACATGGAATTTGGTAGATTATATTATTTTGCCTAATTGGTTCCATCGGATCTTTTAGCCGACATAGCTTATCTGTGAGTGAGTTTGTTGGTTTAAATGCCACCCTAATTCCAACTCACTTAGAGGTAAGCTTTGTCGGGGGTAAAAGATCCGATGGAACCAATTAGGCAAAATAATATAATCTACCAAATTCCATGTAATGACTGTGAGGTCAAATACATA